ATATATAAAATACGTATACAGTTTAAGTTCTTTAAAACATGTATAAAACGTTCATCCATCATAGACAACAAGTATTCAGATAATATGCACACATAACACGTAGTTTATATAAAATACTTCATATCTATGTGTAAGATAAAAGGGACTATGCACTCACCTGAAAGGTGGTGACTCAACACTCGGACAGCGCTTCGATACTCTCAAAGCAAATTCCTTCGATAAAACCTAGTATCAATACCACTAGGGTTTAGTCTAACGATAACCGCAACAAACTAATAGTCTGACTATTATTATTATTATACAAGCGTTAAATAACACTCAATATAACTCATAATAATATCCCAAATACTCATTATAAGTTCCTAATAATGTTACTATATTAAAACATAAGCTATACTAAAGATAGCGTAGGCATAGCTCACTTACAGCGGGTTTTCTCGAAAACCGGGCTTCGCTGGAGCAGCGTTTCCGAGCCGAAAGACCCTTTTCTCGGAGCCGTCGGGCGCTCCAGGGCTTCTGCCTCGTGCGAGTTACCCTAGGCTTTAGGGGGTTAGGGAGGCTTAGAGAGAGAGTTTAGAGAGAGAAAGAGAAGTTGGAAGGTGTGAGAATGAATGGAACCCGACACCTCTATTTATAGGGGTGCTGACTGGCCTACTCGCCGAGTAGGGGGGACCTACTCGCCGAGTTGTTCCATGTGGTGGCCTTCTGGTGGTGCCACGTGTCCAATTCTGGTGGTGCCACGTCACCCCCTATCGCGTATCAGCCTTCAAACTTAGAAAAATCATAACTTTCACATACGAGCTCCGTTTTCGACGTTATTTATATCCACGCGTAGGTAAAATCAATATCTACAACTTTCGTTTAGACTCCGTCAGCTAATTCTCGACCGATCTCAAATTTAACAGTAGGAGGCGTTTAGACTGTTAAATGACCGCGAAGAGTTCATAACTCCTTCATCCGGACTCCGTTTTCGTCTGTCTTTTTACCATTGAGTTCCTATTAATGAGACCTTCAACTCTCATTTAGGTCGCGTAAGCCAAAAACCGCTCGAACTAAAATTCGAGTTTTGGGTCGTGCACTGCTAAGCCGAATCTTAGAAAAATCATAACTTCTTCATACGAAGTCAGATTTGGGCGTTCTTTTTATTGATGTTCTTAGTTTAACATATTCTACGACTTTTGTTTAGATTGCTAAGGCTAAAAAGTCTTCTATCGTAAATTCACTATTTACGTCTCCCGGTGTCGTGCCGGTTTTGCCGTAAAACTTCGGCGGGCCATAACTTCTTCGTTATAGCTCGGATTTCGGCGTTCTTTATATGTACAGAAAGCTTGTGTCATATTCTACAACTTGGTTAAGATTATTTATTCTAAATAATATTTTGTCAAAAAGTCATTTTTGAACCCTGTTGCCTCTAAATTGACTAGCCCGGATCTGCGGGCGTTACACCCCTACTGGAAGGTAACTCACCTCAATGTCATGCAGTGTTTGAACTATCCTCGGCGTAAAAGTCGACTCCCTTCGACTCCTCCATCCCTACACAACAACCTTCAAATCAGTACACAAAACGTGCAACCCTAAACATGGTTAGTTCAAGTCCAGTCAAAGTCAACTTCAACTTGACCCGACTCACCGAGTTGGGTCGTCAACTCGTCGAGTCCCTAACCTTTTACCCGTCCTTATCCACGACTCGACTCGTTGAGTTTGGCAAAAACTCGACGAGTTCCTCTTCTTTACGAACATCTAATGAACCTTCATCCGACTCGGCGAGTTGTATGAACAACTCGTCGAGTTCATCTTCAACCATAAGGAGATTGCCTTGGACACGCCGAGTTTGTTCTAGCACTCATCGAGTCCCATGAACTCCAGGTCTAAAACTAAGTCCAATGTGTTGGGTCACTCCTTCTAACCTGCTACAACCCTTCTAACACCCAAACTGAGTTCTTTTGACCCTCAACAGATATGAGCCTTTATGCGTTGGACTCATCGAGCCCCAAGAATGGACTCGCCAAGTCGATAACGTCCACACCCTAAATCCTCGATTTCTAATGTACAACACTTGACCAAATGATAGATCCAAGCCCCTAAGCTCGATCTAGCACGTAAAGTTATGAACTTTACATGCATGCATGGGACTTTTGATCCTAAAAGGCCCTAAAATGGTTCTTATAATGCATGGGACCTTCCTTGAGTGCAAAAGCAACTCCAATCTGCCTTGTAACTCTTCCCAAGTGCTAGATTCGAAGTCTTGACCCCCAACCGTGTTTGCAAATCATGGTTGGTCACCTCATATGGCTTAAAAGCCCAAAATCTTCCCCAAAAAGGGATCTAACAATTAAGCAAGCCAGGTATAGGCTTTATACCTTTCAAAGACTGCAAATGAAGTCCCAAACACGAATCCTTCAGTCTCCTATTGGTCCTCTTATGCTCTTCCTTCTTCCTTGTGAACAAAACCACCAAAATCACCACAAATGCATTTAGATCTTCACTCACTCGGCTAGGGTTTGCTATGGAGGGTCTTTGGGAGCAATAGGGACGAGTGGTGGCTGAAAGAGATGATTAAATAGGGTGCAAACCATCAGATTAGGGTTTTTTGTCCAGTCAGAGCCTACTCGTCGAGTCTGGCCACCGACTCGACGAGTCCGCCACTTAAGTCCCGTGTCCAAACCCGCTCCTACTCAACAAGTTGGGCCTTCAACTTGCCGAGTCCCAGGCCAAAAATGCAAAATAATTAAATAAAATACATACCAGGAACCGGGTGCTACATGCCAAATCAAATAAACCGTCATTGGTTGTTTCAGATTTCGATGAAAAAATGGTGGTTTAAAGCTTTGTAAGAAATATGCACTTCTAATTTTTTATTTTAAAATTTTATTTTAGGTTAAAAGCTCTACAATTTATGCAAGGAGACTCCTTGATTTCGATGAAAAATGGTGGTTGGCAATGACAATTTTCTGAGTGTGAGACCAGGTCTCATCGGATAATACAATATACACAGTTCTTACCAAACCCAATCCTCCCCTCTCTCTCCCTCCCTGCCTCTCTCTCTCTCTAGAAAATGTCATTATCGTCATCTCCGCCTTTCTATTCCACTTACCAACAAACATTAAATCCTGTGAAAAGATAATCAATACCACATTTGTAAATCATGCAAAAGGCGCCAACATTACAGAAACACCGAATCCTTTTTAAATTGACAAAAAAATCAAATCAGTATCCAAATACCTTCATCAAATCCAAAAATATCCATCGATCTGGTTTTTCAGGTCTTGTGATGTCGATTTGATGCAGTTATTGTTCGATAAATAACCAACAATCTGGTTTTCAGGTATTGCTATTTCGAATCGGTGGCAACATAGACAGCTTTGCTATAATAGATATCGAAGGAGTCGGAGTTTGGTTCATCAGAGCGAGGAGTAATTAAGGGTTGGCGGTGGATAAATGTAGTGGAGTAACTCAAAAAGAAAATGATTTTCCGTTTGCGTTTTGGTACTTAGGAAGTTACCCTAGGAAATGAGTAATGAAAAAAAATATATTAAAAATAGCACTAAGGGTAAAATGGTCTATTTGCATCTACCAAGGACTAAAAGTGAAAAAAAATTATCACTCTGGGATGGTCCAACTTACGAAAAAATTATGACCAAACATGCAAATTACCCCAAATCACAGGGACCATTTGTGTATTTGTGATGTGTTGTGATGTTTTTATTAGTTACATCATTTGTCACCATCATTATGCATTTTCCACATATCTCTCCCCTATATATAGGTTAGGTTCGCCATCATTATGCATTTTCCACATATCTCTCCCCTATATATAGGTTAGGTTTGTGTGAGATGGTTTATTTTTTTGAGACCGTGAGACCATTTTTTTTAGTGAAATATTATAATATTCTAGTGTTCATAAAAATTAAATATGTGTAATATTCTAATCTTTTAAAACAAAATTTTTTTTTTAACATATTTTACATTGAAATATTCTAAACATATAATGCTAGAATATATTGCATATTCTATTTTTACGAACAATAAAATATTAGGATGTGTCAATAAAAAAATTGGTCTCACGGTCTCATAAAATTATGTTCTGTCTCAAATTACCTATATATATATATATATACACACACACACACACACACGGGTGCGTGCACGCGAGTACATCAGAATAACACCAATGTACCGATCACAAAACACAATACAATAATAATAATAATAATAATAATAATAATAATAATAATAATAATAATAAGCCCACTAACAGCCCCCCACAGTGTGAACGAGAGTATGATCACAAACGTTCAAACTAGATCTAAAATCGAGAAATAATGGAGAAGGAAGACTCTTAGTAAATATATCAGTGTATTGAGATGTGGAATGAACATGAAGAACCCGAACATGACCAGTGAACACTTAGTTCAAAAACACATACAGGTTGTGAGTGTGCTAGCGATCAACTGGACTGTCTAGAATATTCAGTGGTCGAGATCTATACTCTGCTTGATGTATGGATCATCTTTAAAGTCAATGTATCTCATCATCCGTATCATCTTACACCTACACATCTTTACCCAATATATTTATTAGTATAAAAACACATACACAGTTTAAATAAAATAAAACATATATAAATCGTTCATCTAGCACAGATATTACGAACACATATAATAGGCACATATAGCATGTAATTATCTTAAATACTTTACATCTATATGTAAGATGAAAGTAAGTATGCACTCATTTGTTAAAGTGATGACTCGAAACTCGGACAACATTTTGCTTTAGCACTTGGTATTTCCTTTAACGTGACCTAGGTTCAATTAACACTAAGTATTAACCATCCATTAGCATAAGCTAGTTTCTTTTTTTCTTTTTTTTATTTGGATAAACCTCATCGAGCTCTCTTTTATAAATGTGTACGACTAACGGTCTCATTATAAATTTAATTGAATAATGTAGAATTATTGTTTATATATTAATAATGTAGAATTATTGTTTGATATCACATGGGCTATTGGCAGCAAGTTCGTCAGAAGAAGAAACTTGAGGGAAACTACGGCAAGGATTTCGACATCAACGGGAGAGCAGTTACCTACTACGTCCAAGACTTCCCTCCGGACTGGAATGAAACGGCGTTGTGGAAAACTTTCAGCTTGTATGGGGCCGTGGTGGACGTGTATGTTGCTAGAAAGCTGAACCGACTAAAAAGAAGATTTGGTTTCGTTCGATTTCTCAAGGTTCGAGACATAAGAGCCTTTGAATCGCGTCTGAATGAGATCCTCATCGGTGCCAAAAGGATTAAAGTTAACGTAGCCAAGTTTGATAGGAAAGGTAAAGAATCCAGGATTATCACCCCCACCCAAAAGGTAAACCGGGGGGCTCATACAACCAAGCATCTCTCCATACGAGAGTTGCTCAGGAGAATGATATGTCGTATGCTGACGCGGTGAAAGGACCTCCGCCTAGCCATTATAAGGGGATGACTGACGACCCAATGACTGGTACTAGAAACAAGAATAACGACAGGGTAGACGCAAATAGTATCAGAATGATCTCTACAGAAGGGTCGAAGGAGTGCATGAATAGCACTCTGGTTGGAGAAACTAAAAACTTTCAGACCCTTATGAACGTCATGGCACTTCCGGTAGTTGAAGGTTGCCCTAACATCCAGCTGAGGTATCTAGGGCCATGAAGATGCTATTGGATTTCGAAAGTGTCCAAGAGAAGAACGACTTCCTATCTAATGGGGAAGTCATTTGTAGGCCATGGTTCAAATCCCTCACAAACTGGTCTATGGAGTGCAACTATAATGAGAGAATAGCATCCATAATCATTCAAGGGGTACCACAACATGCATGGTGTGAGGAAGCCTTTAGCTCTATATCCAAGATGTGGGGATCAGTGGTTATCCCGGAAGAATGCCCAACAGACTCTCCAAACCTTGCCTTTGGGCGAGTAGGTATCCTTACCTCACATCCTGGACTAATCAACCTCTCTATTCCTGTCTTTGTCGATGGAATCTGTTTTGAGGTCAATGTTATGGAAGATGTGTTTGAGTCTTTAAAGCTCAACCCTGTTCTGGCATCAAACGATTTCTAGTATCCCAATGGGAACTGGTGGTACGATGGAGTCCGTGAGGATGACTATGCCGTTCAATCGAAGGAGGACCTGAATTCTCCGATATCGTCCCCGGCATATTCTCACCGGAGTCTGGTCGGGGAATGTGAAAAGTTGCAATCATGTGAGACGATCCCAGTTCCCGAGGAGCAGTATAAGATCGAGAATCTTAACAGTCGTCAGAAGGGTGTCGATTCGTCGCGTGTAATTCAAAATGGAAGTCCGTCCCCTTGTTCCAACATGAGATTGGACTCGGATCGGGTTATCTCTGCTAGTGGTCATTACAGGCCCACCAAGCTATTGGACCTTAATAATGTGCCCTGTAATTCTAATTCCATATTGGCCCAAAATCTTAGATCCTCTCCTATAGAGTTATCCCCAACCTCTTCGTCAACGCCAATCAACCCGGTTGGAAGTCACTCCCAGGATAATCTCCAAGAACCGCTGAGGCCCCATAATAATAATACAGGTACTCCATCCTATCCGATCCAAGAGAAATCTGACTCTACATCTATGGAGGTGCTAAAGATGATTGAAGTGGGGGAGAGAGTTGGTTTCAGGGTTAAAGACTGTGCAGACCATCTCAACCCCCTGATTAAAAAACGTGGAGTGGTGATCCTGGACCAATGAATATCTTCTCCAACAACATATGTGGAATTGGGTGTGAAGTCAAAAGAAACTGGGTCAAGGAGTCTAGAATCAAAAATCGTTCCTTCTTGGTGGGGCTTCAAGAAACAAAATCCCTTAAAGTCAAAGGTAACCTTGATAGACAATTATGGGGATCCCCAAATTTTCTGTGTGATGTGGTCGACCCCAATGGGGCCTCAGGTGGAATTGCGTCCTTATGGGACCCTTTGAGTTTTGATATATCTTAATCAATTAAGGGTGACGGTTTCTTAGCTGTAAAAGGTGTTTGGCTCCGACTAAGAAAGAGATGTTGCTTCGTAAATGTATATGCTCCCCAGGAACCGGTTAGGAAGAAGATACTTTGGAACAATCTACAAAGTATCGTGAGCTCTGATTTAGATTGTCATTGGTTTGTTTTTGGAGATTTTAACGTCGTGAGACTCCCTGAAGAAAGGCTCGGCTCCAACTTTTGCCCCAACAGTGCGTATCATTTTAATAAATTCATCCACCTGACAGGGCTAATTGAAATCAAAATGGGTGGGCGCCGCTTTACATATGCGAACCGAGATGGTAACAAACACAGTAAGTTGGATAGATAACTTGTAACTGCAAACGTCCTTGATACGTGGCCACTCCTAAATGTCACAGCACTACCCAGGATTCACTCGGATCACTGTATCATTACCTTGTCTTCGGGCTGCTTAGATTTCGGTCCCTACCCTTTCCGCTTCTTCAATTCTTGGATGGCTGATGATGGGTTTGAAAATATAGTAAAACAAGGCTGGGTTACCCGATCTGCTCCCGGAAGTCGACTCCATATCTCCCCCTTATCCATCACTGCAGGAAAGCTTAAAAACATGAAGGAGCACATCAAGAGGTGGAGAACGGAATTATTGGAGATGCGAAGAAAGGAGGTTTCTGAACTATCTAATATTATCAATACCATTGATCTCCATGCAGAGCGGTATCCAATTGACAATGTGCTGCTGCAACAAAGACAGAATGCCCACCAAAAAATCATGACGCTTGAATCCTCAAGAGCGGCGGATCTAAAACAAAAATCTAGAGTAAAATGGGCATTGGATGGGGATGAAAATAGTGGGTTCTTCCATGGAATTATAAACAAGCATCACAGGGTAAAAAGAATAAATGGCCTCAAAGTAAACGGCTTTTGGATCACCGATCCATCAATGATAAAACAAGAAGTAGTCAATCATTTCCGGGAGAGTTACTCAGAGCCTATAAGGTCGAGACCAAAGTTTTTCAGTGCAAAGTTTAAAAAATTATCTCCACAATTGGCTTCGTCCCTTGAACAACCTTTCTCCTTGGACGAAATAAAATCGGCTATATGGGCATGTGGATCAGATAAGGCCCCCGGCCCAGACGGCTTCTCCTTTGCATTTCTTAAGAAACATTGGGACATTATTGGCAGCGATTTCTATTTCGCTGTTAAATATTTCGAAGCATCAGGCAGCATTGATAAGGGATGCAATTCCTCTTTTATTACCCTGGTTCCCAAAATTCAGGATCCTAATACCATTGGTGATTTCCAGCCCATCAGCTTAATTGGCTGTTTGTATAAAACTATAGCAAAGGTTCTAGCAGAAAGGTTAAAAAAAGTCGTTCACCTGGTTGTGAGTCCAAACCAGACGGCCTTCATCAAAGATCGATGTATCCTCGACGGCCCCCTCATTCTAAATGAAACGATCTCTTGGCTAAAAAAGTGTAAAAAGAAGGCGTTTGCCTTTAAGGTCGACTTTGAAAAGGCCTTCGACAGCCTTAGCTGGGGATTCCTTGATTCGATTCTCGAACAGATGAACTTTGGTTCCAAATGGCGATCATGGATTCTCGGGTGCCTTACTTCAGCTAGGATTTCAGTTCTAATAAATGGAGCTACCACCACAGAGTTTTCTATGGAGCGTGGAATTAGGCAAGGCGATCCGTTGTCGCCTTTCCTGTTTATCATTGCGGCGGAGGGACTGCATATTGCCATGGAAGAGGGTAAAGAAAGTGAAATCTTTGAAGGGATAGAATTGCCAAATCAGGGCCCAAGCCTTTCTCACCTCCAGTATGCAGATGATGTTATCTTCCTAGGTTCTTGGTCGACAGAAAACGCAAAAAACCTGATCCGCATTCTTCGTTGCTTTGAATTGGCTTCCGGCCTCAAAATTAATATGTCCAAAAGTAAATTATATGGCTTTGGTGTTCAAGGATGTGAACTGGAGTTGGTGGCCCGATGCCTAAATTGCTCCATAGGCTCCATACCGATTATATACCTTGGCCTCCCAATTGGTGCTTCCATGGCTAGAGCTGTTCACTGGAACCCACTGATAGCGAAATTCCAATCGAGGCTGTCAAATTGGAAAGCTTCAACTCTGTCATTCGGGGGTCGCTTAACACTGTGTAAGGCGGTCTTGGGCAGCCTGGGATCTTTCTATTTCTCTATGTTTAAAGCTCCAATTAAAGTGATCAAATTGCTTGAGAAGATCAGAATGAGGTTCTTTTGGGGGGGGGGGGGTGGTTTGGATAAAAGAAAGATTTCGTGGGTTGCATGGGACAAAACATGTGCTTCTAAAGAAAAGGGCGGACTAGGTATTGGCAGCCTGAAAGCTCAAAACATTGCATTGCTGGGAAAGTGGTGGTGGCGGTTCAAATCAAAGCCGAACAACATATGGGCCGAAGTAATAAAGTCAATTTTTGGAGCGGAAGGTGGTTTCAACCGGCCCTCGGTAGCCCGAAGGAAAAGTGGGTGTTGGGGAGTAATTGCTAGCCTCCCCAAAATGCTCGAAAAAGATGATATCTCATTTGTAAGTCACTTCCAACTGGTTCACAATGATAACATTCCAGGAACATTGAAGTGGAGCTGGGAATTGGACCCATCTGGGACATATTCGGTTTCATCTTTGAGGAACTATATCGACTCAACCATCCTTCCTTGTTCTGATGAGAAGTGGCAGTGGAACCCATTAGTCCCTGGGAAATTGAATATCCTAGCTTGGAGAATTAGCCATGGGAGACTCCCAACAATGGTCAACTTATCAAAAATTGGCATCACGCAATCCAACCGTTGCAAAATCTGTGGTGTGGCTCCAGAAACTGATAATCATTTGTTTATAGAATGTGGGACAGCAAAGGACCTTTGGCAAAGAATAGCTGGATGGTGGCGATTGATGGATCCAAATGTCCAAGCGATTAAAGATCTCCTTAACTGCAAGAGCGTACTGAAAGGTCACAAGAGGCTGGAAATCATTCACGAAGGTATCATGTTAGTATTCCTTTGGGTAATTTGGAACTTCCGGAACTTGAAGGCTCACTCCTCAGGTGCTAAATCTCTCTCGGTGCTGGCTTATGAGGTACAATCTATGTCCGCGTTCTGGATTAATGCGAGGAATAGAAAGGGTCTATCCCTTAGGTGGCTTGATTGGTGTTGCGACCCTATTCGGGAATGTTATGCTAATATGTAGTTAGCTCATGCTATTTAGTTGCATTTTCTGTTTCCTTTTCTTGTATTTTCCTATCTTTTTTCCTTGCTAAACTTTGTACCTTCTAGCCTCTAGCTAGTTTTTATTTATATACCAGCTTGTCGTTCGAAAACAAAATATATTTTTTTAGTTCCTCATAAGGATACACATGAAAATAATCTTCGAGAAATCCTAAATGCATAAAGAACGAGTTGGGTCTTTGGGTTGGTGGCATTTATTTTATTCATTGTTCTCTCGTTTTGTTTTTTTCCAAGTGAAAAAGAATCTTAAATATTTAATAATCACATGAGTTTGGAAAATACTAATAAGAATCAAACTAATTATTGAACTTAATCATCATGCCATGTTGCACTTAACATTAATAAATTTCACAATTTTGTTATAAAAAATAGCCCCCAAAGTCGATTTTCATATCTATTCCTAAAAGTAGTTTGAATACAATGAATCAGTATTATTATTTTATTATTGTGTTATTTATAAAATTAGAAACAAATAATTATAATACATAATTAAAGTTAAAGATTGACATTTAGATACTCTTTAAATTTTATATTAAAAGTCCTTTTATCGAATCAAAGTTTTACCTTCTCTAAATGTAATTAGTTTGTCACGTTAATAATCATAATTTATCAAACAGTGTAAAATTATTTGTTTTTGAATTAAAACATCAATAATCTAAATTTCAACACGTTCAAACCTTCCCCTAAATGTTCACAAAAAGAAATATAGTGAAGTGTAATTGCTAAAAAGTGCAAATATTATGGTTACTCATACAATAAATCCCAAATCATGTAATTTCTTACAATAAATAAATAAATACTTTACCAAACTTTTTTTTTTTCCATTTTTTACTTAAATTCTCATACCCAAATTCATAAGAAGGATTTACATTTTAGATCATTCGAAATAAAAAATTTTGGTTAATAATATGTATCCCATTCCCCTCAAAAACTACAAATTACAAGCAACTCATCCTTTTCCATTTTTAATAACAAGAAGAAAGAAAAAGAGAAAAAGAAATATTCTCATGCTACAAATTAAGAACTAAAACTTAGATTTAGTTTCCAAATTCTGCATTGAATTCTTAAACTCTGAGCAAATAAACACTAAGTTCAGGAGCACCATTGCTATCAGGATTCATCATATAGAAAGCTTCTGAATCTCTTGACCCCATAACTCTCTCAAATTTCGCTCTCATGTACATGGTTTCTTCATCTTCTCCGGCTACTGTTTTCTCCGCCGGCAACACCCCAGCCCCCATTGATATCGGCTCCACCGCTTTAAGAACTCTCCATTCTTTTTCTCCGCACTCTCTTTTCACGGCGAACCCGCACTTCTTCCCGTTACAATAAGTCCTCCAAACAGGCTCTTCCAAAAGCTTTCTTGAATTACCCACCTTTTTCGTCTTCTCTTCTTCTTTATCACATTCCAATGCGATTCGAACTTGCCCAGATGCCATTTCTTTAACAAGACCACTAATTGGTGTCTGAAGCTCGATCAAGAAAGCTGGTTGGGCGGTGGGGTTTTTCTGGAATGCGAAGTAGGCGTGGCCTCGCCGGGATCCAAATAGGGTTCCGACGACTTTAGGGCCAAGAGTGTTTTGAAGGTTTGCTCTATTTTGCCTTATAGCGGTAAGAACTGAGCGGAATCTAGCAACTGTTACAGCTTGGAGTTTCTTTCTTGGTAGGGGTGGCGGAGGTGGTGGTGATGGTGATGGTTTGTGAGGTTCGGCCTGGTTGACGTTGGGTTTATGGCAAGGATTGATGGGTGTTGGGGTTTCTTGATCTTCATTGCTGACCTTATTTGACCAATGGAAGTGCATAGAGGTCTTTGCCATGGCAGTATGGAAATGAGAAAAGAATAACCAGAAAAGGGGAGAAGGCAACTTCTTAAACAGTGTGTATCTCTCTGTGTATGTGTGTGAGAGAGAGAAAGAGAGATTGTTGTCTCTTTTATGGATTTGTGGGTGGTATTTTTAGAGGGGAAAGAGAAATTGTTGTCACTTTTATGGATTTGAGGGTGGTATTTTTAGAGGGGAAACTACATTAAATTTACTATTTTATGCTTTTTTATACAATTTATTTTTTAGATATAACATTACTTTATTAAAAAAAAAATCCCAATTTTCATATTTTGCTGCCTGACATTCTGTTGAACCTTTGGTGAAAAAATAGTAACTTTGATGTAAATTGTATTATATTATGTATTATTATTATTATATAAAAATAACTACATATATATGGACCGGAGAGTTTCATAATGGATGATTTGTGGAATGTTAACATATAAATTGAATAGTTTAAGTAATTATATAAAATATTAAATATTATGTTTACTATTTAATAGCTAAAAAAATAAAAATAGAAAAAAGATCGCAACATGAGCAGTAGTAGCTACATCAATATCATTAGATAATAATTTTATAACCCAACACTCCAAAGTACAAATCCATTGTTAAAAAAAAAAAGTTTACTAAAAACATAACAAATCTCATAAATTTATAAAAATAAAAAACTGGATGAAAAAAATTATATAAAAAAAAATATCAAACATCTACCAAAACTTTCAGATATGGCATCAAAAGATCATCCATTGATTGCCTAAAATCAACAATAAATTACATAAAATTTATATATTCAAAACATAAATTTTCAAATATCAGATCTATCATTGTTAATTTGTTACTTCCAAGAGACTCAATCCATCTAACTCATGGTTTATGTGATCTTTGGTCATTGTATTGTTTTGGTTTTCTAATTTTTTAGGATCTAATTTGCTACATGGAGGGACTCTTGTATGTTATGAAATTGCAGTATTGAACTTTCAATTTTTTTTCCTGTTAAAGCATTGTTTTTTGAAAGATCTGTCTAATTGAATGATATTGCTATAATTGGTAAGAAATAAAAATATGATGTTAGTATAATACAGATATCAATAATATTTCTATTTGTTGTGTTCTCAAAATTCGAACTATGAACAGGGATGTCGTAATCATAATCGAACTTTGAGAATGCAAATAATAAATATATCCTTGGCTAAATTCAATTAAAATTTCTCCATCTAATCTTTTAGATTGGAAACGAAGTACAACATTCTCTCCTGTAATTATAGCAGAAACAACTTTTCAACCCCTACAACTTTGCAAAGTGAAACTTTGTTTTTCTATAATTAATATTGTCAATTTGCAATACTTAAAATAATAATCATGCTCCCACTAACATGATGATTATATCCATTCAAGCATAACATTTATGCTCCCACTAGCTTTAACACGTATTCAGAAAACAGTTGGACTTCTAGAAGCCAATACTTATTGACTTCCAAAGTTCATATTTCCAATAGGATGTGCTTCGATAAGCCTTTATCTAAGCTTCTCAAACTCATACACCTTTCTTCAAACAGCTCACATGTGTATCTAAATTAATTCAGAACTTATATTACTAAGTCCCAAATGTTCAGACTAATCGCCAAATCTCACAATTCGAACTATGAAGAGGGACGTCGTAATCATAATCGAATTTGATAATGCAATCTACACAATTGCTATCTTCTTAAAATCTTTCTTAATGAAAGCGTTTCTTCATAATCGTTTTCATGAAGGAGAGAAACCTTATGACACTTAGATTTTATGGTGTATGTGTTCCTATCCATGTGAATTTGCATAACCATAATCGTAAGATAATGTTTGTGACAAATTCAAACTCTTATGGACAGAACTTGTTAATTCTTGATTTCTTGCCATCAAGGGTCCCACCATTGCTTCCAAGTTATTTACCAGCTTACCTATACCGGTCAATGTACTTTCATTGAACAAGGTACTTGCCTTATGCAGTCTATTAAGAACTCGTAGAACTCATATGCATAATCAACTCAACTGGATTGGCACAGAAACAAGAATATGTCAACACGATAGGTTACAAACCTCAAGTAGATCTGGCAATCTGTTTCTGCGTGTCGTGTATTCGTGTCACACACGAATTTACACAACACGAATTTGTTAAAGACGAACACGACACGAATTATAAAATGTGTTTGGGGTATCAAACACGAACACGAACACGACACGTGAAAATTTTGTGTGACACGTAACATGACACGAATAGACACGTTTTTAGTCGTGTCACACGAAAACATGAATAAACACGTTTTTAATGGATTTTTTAAACTAGGGCTATAATCTAATTATTGACTATTACAAAATTGGTCCATAATATTTTATAAATATAAAATTTAACACTAAATTATATATATATATATATATATATATATGTGTGTGTGTGTGTGTGTGTATGTGTGTATACGTGTTTGTACATGTCACGTGTCAACACGAATTTGTATCATATCTTATACGTGTCTAAACAGGTAAATTCGTGTTTGACACGTGTAAGACACGAAACACGAATTTAAAATACGTGTCAGACACGAATAAACACAAAACACGAATTTCTAAAACACATACATTGAAAACTCGTATCATGTTCGTGTCGTGTTAATCGTGTCGTGTATCAAATTGCCAGGTCTAACCTCAAGTCGTGTGCTAGTGTTTAATAATAGGTTTACTCTTGATCAGTTCTTGAAACTTTTCAAGATCATTTAGACTCCCACTGACTTCTTAACATATAAGATTCTCTTGTCAAGAAAATATTTCTTGACAAACAAATATTCAAGAGTTAGTGCGGATTCATATCAAGACAAATGCTACACACAATAGGTATTAGTTGGTCTTTGTCTTATCCAATACATCACAATTTACCAATTTCAAACGCGCAAGTGTAAGAAAAACAATTTTCTACTTCACATTTGATGAGTGCGTTAGAACTTCTTAAGATGTGTCACTCAATTCACAATCTTGGAGTATGACTCTAAAACTTGATTTTGGAACGAAGTATGACTCATCCTTTTGATTTAACCATTTCAACAATTTCCGATTCCCCTTCTTCTTAGATTTGAGAAACTTTTATCTTTCTGCCTAATTTATTCTTCTTATTCGTTCTGTCATTCCTTGAAACTTTTCAATGATTCAAAATTACACTTAATCTTGTAAGTATAACCACATTTACTATACTTTCAGTAAATTATGACAAATATTCTTATTGTTATTTGTGGTGGACTTGACTAGTGCACAACATTGTGTTCTAGTCCTTTAGTCTTTCACTTGACTCACATACTTGTGTGATCAATGAATTAGTTTTAATTTCCTAAGTACCAAGATTTACATACATCACACAATACAAGTTGTATGATTCCAAGTTTTTGTCCAATTGAAACTTGGGCGATGGGAATCTTTCCATACTTAGAATATTTGACACTTCCATAATTAGCATAACTAAGTATCACATCCATTTATAGAAAAACACAAACAATAATTTTTCACAACGATTTAATTTCAAGGATATATATAAATAAGACAAACCTATTTTATTTATAGAACCAGTGGAATACACGTCCTTACAATGCAAAATCAACTGGAAAAAACTATGTAATCAAATATTCCTAACAAATCTATCATAAATTTCTAAGCTCAAAATCTGATCTTCGAATCCATGCGATAGTGATCCATTTCTTTGTGATCAGACTCATCTTGCTCTTCCATCAAACTTCCTCTCTCCTCTCTGATCCTGTAAAAAACATCCAAATGTAATCTTATCACATCATGCATTAAGAATCAATGAATAGGAACTTAGCAGAGTTAAATAGTGGATTTTACCTGAAGTAGAGCCATATTTCTTAACTCTCCCATATCTTAGATCTCTCAGGTAGACTGGGAAGCTTCGTCTCCAATGCCCCTTCTCTTGGCAATAAAATGAAATTGACTCTCTTGGAACAGCACACAGAACTACTGCAGACTTTGCCTTTCTCTTATGATCAAACTTTTCGACCATGTCATGCCTTTCGTTGCCATTGCCTATGTCCATAGAGGTTTGGAAGGCAGATCCACCAATCAACTTTGCTTCTCCAGTGCGCCAAATCATTGCTGATTAAGCAGCAATAAGAAAATAGGTGAGATTGATGAGGGTCACGTCGTGGTCTATCATATAGTACTCTCTTACGAACTCACTATATGAGTTAGGAAGCAACTGAAGAACCCAGTCAAGAGCCAGATCCTCACAAACAACGACTCCCAACATTCTTAACCTATCAATGTGTGACTTCATCTCTAAGACGTCTGCACACACTAACTTTCCATCTTCATGTTTCATCGCCAACAGGGCTTGAGTGAGCTTGACCTTTTTAAGCCTTTGAACTTGTGGGTTAGGGAGAACAATAGGAGGAGGTAGAGGAACTGAATCATGATCTTGTGTTCCTCGATCGAATCGTGGAATATCATCTTCATGTGGAAAGCTAGTTCCACGGGATTTGGGAATACCATAGTTGTCATACTTTGACATCTACAAAATGGGAGAAAATTCAAGTTAGTTGATTGATTGAGTCCTTAATAAAACACCAAAATGAGATATTAAGGCTAGGACCCAACACAATACTCTACAGCTTGGGAGAGGGATGTCGTAACCCAAATTGTAGAACATTTGAAGGTAAGTGAATGACGATTCACTAATTTTCCACCATGAAAAACGAAAAAGAGATTAAGTGTTAAATGTATTGAAAACTCCTAGATCCTTTTAGATTAATTGAAATTTTCAATGGCATGTTTAAATCTCGATTTGTGACTGGGATGCCGAGGATCACAAAACAGGGTGTGAATAACCATGCAAACATACATGGTGCCCCCAATGTTACAGTCTCCTATTCGATGTGTCGGTTAACCACACACGCTCCAGCAAACTATGACAAACATCGAGTCACCCTTGTCCACCTTTGCTTAGAACCCATTTAATG